GATCATTTTCATCCCTCGTTCCTCGTACTTGAAGACTCAGAATAAAATACGACAAAAAAGAACGTGTGTGGATTCGATGGAACTTAGATGCAACGGTATAAAGTGTCTCTGTAGTAAACATTCTGCCTTAAAGATTAAAAAAAACAGTTTGGTGGCAAACGGATGGCAAAATATCAACAACTAAATGATGAGGCCGTCCTCTTGAAGAAAGCAAATAAAAAATTTTAAACTATTAACCACACTTTTACAACTCATGGGTACAAAAAATTGCACAAAAATCCATTATAATTGATTATAATTGATTATAATCCCTTTTGTTTGTCCATTTTTGTCTTCGAAGTTGCATCTAAACTGCTTATATTTTATGCTTTTTGTGTACATAGGTTCCTATGAAAAATGAGAAAAATGTTTTTAAAGTTTTCCAATCAATTCAAATTTATAAGTTTTTTTTTTCATTTCTTCCCCATTAGAGTTGTTTTGTGAGCATATTTTAAGCTTTTTTAAACACAAAAACATCAGCAGATTGATTTAGTTTCATGATTGATTCGGAAAAGTTATTTTTCATCTACCGCGAGAACCTTTCCACTCATATGAAAGGATCTCTATGAAACTTTTGTTTCGTGGTATAACTTTGTGTTCAGATGAACCAAAGTGTTCAAAAGATCTCTCTTTTAGAGATTTTTTTAATGACACAAAAAAATAACCCATAAGTTATATTTCGAATATAAAAAAATTTCGGCAAAATAAGAGATTATAATCAATTATAATCGATTATAATTGATTTTAAGGGTTTTTAGTAAGAACTATAATCAATTATAATCAATTATAATCGATTATAAGAGATAATAATCTTTTGGAAAATATCACGATTATAATCGATTATAAATCCCTTAAAGACCTAATTTTGGTAATTATAATCGATTATAATTGTCAAAAAATCATCATAATAATCCATTATAATCAATTATTTACGCCCAAACTTGGATGCGGGCTTCTCCAACCCGCATCCAGTTTCAAGCGTTAATAATCGGTTATATTACGATTTTAGTACCAGTCTCATTAAAATTGAGGAACAATCGATTTTAATCAATTAATAATCGATTATAATCTCTCTTTCTAAAATCAAATTATAATTAATTATAATCCATTATAATCGATTATTTATTCGTCAATTTTTCGAAAAAAAATAATCGACTATAATTGATTATAATCAATTATTTTTATTCAAATTTATATTTCATTAGTTTTGCACAAAAATCCATTATAATCGATTATAATTGATTATAATCCCTTTTGTTTGTCCATTTTTGTCTTCGAAGTTCCATCTAAATTGCTTATATTTTATGCTTTTTGTGGACGTTGGTTCCTATGAAAAATGAGAAAACTATTTTTAAAGTTTTCCAATTAATTCAAAATTAAAAGTTTTTTATTCATTTCTTCACCATTAAAGTTGTTTTGTGATGCATATTTTAAGCTTTTTTAAACACCAAAACATCAGCAAAATGATTTAGTTTCATGATTGATTCGGAAAATTTATTTTTCATCTACCGCGAGAACCTTTCCACTCATATAAAAGGATCTCTATGAAACTTTTGTTTCGTGCTAATTCTTTGTGTTCAGATGAACCAAAGTGTTCAAAAGATCTCTCTTTTAGAGATTTTCTTATTGAAACAAAAATAATACCCATAAGATATAATTCGAATAGAGGAAAATTTCGGCAAAATAAGATATTATAATCGATTATAATTGGTTTTAAGGGTTTTCAGAAAGAATTATAATCAATTATAATCAATTATAATCGATTATAGGAGATTATAATCTCTTGGAAAATATCACGATTATAATCAATTATAAATCCCTTAAAGACCTAAATTTGGTAATTATAATCGATTGTAATTGTCAGAAAATTGTCATAATAATCCGTTATAATCGATTATTTACGCCTAAACTTGGATGCGGGAAGGTTCTAGCCCTGCTCAACAAATCGTGTAACAATTGCCTTCTTGATTAAGAATCATCGAAGCTGATCGTGCCCCAAACGATACTTCTGCAAACTGGGTTCCAGAAAAAATGAGACGTAAATAACTTTCATCATCCAGTTCAGATTTGTTTCTGTTAATATTCATCGGAAAAGCATCTGTCTGGTTTTATATAGTCCAAATTTGTCCGTCGATATTGATAAACCGAGAATCGCTTTTTTTTCGTAGTCTACAATTTTTTCGTAGTCTAGCTTTATGACCTGATAACTTGCATGAATTACTCAAGAATAAGACTATGAGACCAATGAGCACTATTTCTATGGGGGATGTTAGACGTTAGGGAACAGAACGCAAGCCCGTGAATAGTTATGAAAAAATTCTTAAAAAAAGAAATCCAACAATCAATTTTACAATATGTACAATCATTTAGAGAATACACCAGTGTCGCATTTTATCGAGCACGTTTATTCCTGGTCTCTACGGGTGGATGGGAAAAGGCAACGAGCTGAAAAATTAGATTTGGAAAAAGACAAGAGGTTTGCGGCCTACGATCCCATGGAAATGAAAAGATGAATATTCACAACCATTAGATCCAGTCCCAAACCTTAGATCAAAACTCTTGGTAAATGAAAATTTTTGACATAACAGAGCCGAACAAATTCAATTTTTTTGCAATAACTTCAAAAACTGTCACTTTTTTCTCTTTTTGATACTAAAACATAAGTTATAGAACTTATTTTTCTTTCTACCTGTTGTGAATCACAATTTCTTTACAAATAAGTAACTCGTGCTCAAAAAACGTTGCAAAAATTGGAATTTTTTGACAAAACCTCAAAAAACCGAAATTTTTTAATCTGTTTTAACCCTGGTACACAAACATCTTTTTGACTATCCTAGAACATTGCATCTGAATACTCAATAGTAAAACAGGGCAAAACGTCTCAGTTAATGACTATCTCAGAAAAGGCATACACATAGCCATCAAATTTTAAAATTTATCACTGAAATCATAAACTGTTCATCTTTAACCTTAGTAAAACCTATTTTGTAGCTTACTGTATTTCCCTGAGTAATTGAACCCCCCTCATATGGTGCATGAAATACTATTCAAGTTGACAGACAATTCTGCAAGCGATTCAATAATGCGATGAAATGTTTCTCTGAAGAAAGTCTTCTAAAGTCAACTATAGAGCGCAAACAGCCAATCACAGAAGCATTCGTCATTTTAAAGTACGCCAAAATGAGTGAGTTGGAACTCTTAAATAATTTATTTGGCAAATTTAGCGAATGAACAAATTTGAATGAAACCAAATACACATGAAAATTTTTTTTATTTGACTTCCCTGGTTTTACCCATCGATTTCTTCCAATAAGCAAGCTGAATCGAGTAAAACTCAAAGAATGATTGTCGACATTTTATAGATCATTTTCATCCCTCGTTCCTCGTACTTGAAGACTCAGAATAAAATACGACAAAAAAGAACGTGTGTGGATTCGATGGAACTTAGATGCAACGATATAAATTGTCTCTGTAGTAAACATTCTGCCTTAAAGATTAAAAAAAAAACAGTTTGGAGGCAAACGGATGGCAAAATATCAACAACTAAATGATGAGGCCGTCCTCTTGAAGAAAGCAAATAAAAAATTTTAAACTATTAACCACACTTTTACAACTCATGGGCAAACTAAAAAAGGACTGAGCTATTTTTACACTACGTGTGAAGTTGATTCCGATGGGATACAAACTTACTCTCTCGGTTTTTGAAAATCAATAGAAAACATTTGGATACGATGCAAAAATACTCAGTTTTAAATGTGGATAATTTTGAGAGGACGACATATCAATTACGTTGAGCATCAATTGTTTTTTGAAAATTTACAAACCTGAAGCATTGTGGATGCTGTGCCCTAAACATGGATCTTAACCTTTAAGTTCTTAATCTACATTTTACATACCATCAAAAATTAACAACTAGATAATGCGTACTAAAAAACTGGCAAAGTTTTAAGAAGTTTAAGATACAAAATATCAATTTTTATACCATTCTTGGCAAGATGCACAAAGTTCATAAGCCATATCTTAATGGACTTTAGACTCTATGCTCTATCTTTTCACACAGCAAAAAATTTGAGCTAAGAGTAATCCTAAATAAAAAGTAGATACAATCTCAATCTTATTACATGGGAGTTTTGAGCGCCAGGATTTTTGACTGTTCCCTACAATAATACCAAAAAAATGTATATTTATTCTTCATCATACTAAAGAGAGTATTTTCCCGGAAATTTTTAGCTTATCTTGAAACTTTCGGGTCAGCATACCCCCTCCTGTTGACCGGCCCCAAGATATACTATTGTCTACTATACAAAAAATCGGCCGAAACTTCAGAACAATCAATTTTCTGGTCCTTTACAAAATAATTTTTTCTCGTCGGAACATTTAATGCTACTTGCATTTACTTTTTGCATAATTGCTAAGTCAGTTTTTTAGGGTCAAACTGATTTGCTGCGACAAAAGTAGTAGCAAAGCGGAAAACCGTGTCCCTTTGTCGTGAGGAAGAAGCTCTGAGGCATGGCGACAGTTTGTTATAAGTGGATATTGGTCACAAGCTACAATTGGTCGCAAGTAGAAAAGTGACAATTTGTCTCATGGCAATTTAATCAGGATTCTTTCCACAGTAGTTCCGTGAAACAACACATATTGAATCCTACACTCGCTAAGATATGTCCGTTTCGTTGCTGTGCATTGCTAAGTCAATCTATTTTGAATTACTCAAATAATAACTATACCAAACTGCTCTCTGACGAATTGTCGTTTCTTAAAATACCGCCAATTGTCGCTTGCGACGAATTTTCGCTTGAGACAAGTTTTCGCCTCACAATCTCTGAATCTCCCATTTGAAGCGGTTACAGTCTAGATCCTCCAACATATACAGTGATTGTACAGTCTAGATCAAATATGAATCTTGTGGCCAAGATTCGCTGTTGACTGTACACAACTATCATAGCAAACTCAGAAAAAAACAGCAATGAAAGCTTTATTTTTGATATTTACAAAGCAGGTAAAAAATAATCGAGACCTTCACTCTTGTAAATTTCGAAATGTCGAAATGATGAGTAGTTTCCGAATGATAGATATCATATAATTGTAGTTGGTTCTATACAACAGCGTTACTTTTTTGTGACCTAGTTAAATATTTCCATTATTACGAAAATATTTTGTTGTTTACGACTTTAAAATTCGGAATATGTTTCAAAAAATGAGCTCGTTTTTCTCCGTTTTCTTCTGCAAGGAGTGGAAATATTCAACTAGATCGTTTTCTTCTCTTATAAAATCAAATTGTATGTCTATGTACACTTCAGAGGACTCGCTTCGGAGTTAGTCGTGTGATGACGTCATCTCCTCAAGTCTAGATTCCGAAATTATCGGAGGGACCGCTGCTCAGTCTTTGGTAGTTGGCTTGGATCTAAAACAGTTATCATCTATGATCTTAGAAAAAAAATTATCGAAAACCGGGTATTTAAGAACCATGCTTAATAAACAGCATGGATGTTCCAATCATAAATGAATCTGAAATAATTTTATACAAAAAAGTGATTCCTGCTCTTATAACTCCTAGCTATCAACTTAACACCAAAAATTTTCACTCTCTGCCATTTAACACTTCAGCCATTTAACACCACTAAATTTTAACACTTTTCGGTTTAAGGTTGCCGGGGGGCGCGCTACGCGCTTGTCGCTGCTTTGCGGCGATAACCAGCTCTAGTTTTCGTATAACGTCCTACCCTCTTATAACTTATTTGAAAAATTTATTAAGCAATTTATTAAAAATGGATCATTTGGAATTTTCAAAAACGTGGATTCATAGACTGCATAGAATTGAAAACTAGGTGCATGACTGAATCGTTATTTATCATTTCCAATTTGATATGTTTTTCGAATAAGTGAATAATCGAGCATTTGCTATACCTTGTTTCGTCGACACAAGAACAGTCCCCCCACCACGATCAGAGACAGCATAGCCCCCACAGTGAAGACACAGGCCAGGGCAGTGGTGAAGGGGGAGTAGTTGTTGTTGATGGGACTCCTCGCGACTGTAAACAAGTAGAAAAATTTACAAAAAGCTCAGTTGAAATTTAGACGATTTTTTAAGTTCAACCAAATTTCTCTTTTTGCTTTTCCAAAACAACGAAACGTAGCCGAAAAAATGTGAAAGGTTCTCAGAGAATTTTTTTGCTAAGTTGAACCAAAACTGGGACAAATTTGTAACTCTTGGGATTTCGTTTGCATTACTGGCGCAGATATTGCCTCCCTTAGAAAAATTTAGGTGTTATATAATAAAAAATGAGACTCCCTAAATTGTAGTTGCTCGTGAACATCAGATGGATTACAAAAACAGGAGCTACGTATGCCCAAAAATGCAACTTATGACCAAAGCTAAAACTTAATTATTAAATGCTTCGAAATGTCAGGGTTTTCTGTGCTCTTTATAAAATTATCATAATGTAGTTTCTATAATTTCTACTTTACGATTTTTAGCTCGGTGCAACGAGACACGAAACAAAGATGAATGGATGCCGTAAAAACAGGAGACTCGATGCCGAGTGTTTACTAACTCTGCAGCTCCTCCACTTCCCTCCTCATCACCACAATGGGGGGAGAGGTCACCAGTTTGGCCTCTTGTTCAGACCTCAGAGCAGCCGACTGATGATTCTCCAGTGCGCCAAGTGCACGTCGCTGTCGTTTTGTAGTGCAAGCTAAAACAGAGAAGAAATCAGTTGATATCAAACGAAATGTGTTGCTCATTTAAAGAGGAGATGGCACAGTTATATTGCTTGATCAAAAAACCTGAATGGCAGATTTTCTTTTTTTGTTAAGTTTTTGTTTCGACGAACTTTTGAAAAGTTTCACAGAGCTACTGAACTAAAAATCCTGATTAATTCGCCTTGCGACGAATCACCGCATCAACGAAAAGTGGTTTCGGCGAAAAGGTATCACCAGAAAAATGGTTTCCACGTTACTCCCTGCTACAACTTTACGCAGTTATAATCTGGTTTTAACTTGTTCCTATTTAATGTAACTGGTTATTACCCGTTTGCTTTTTTCACTTATTGTTTCTGGTATTTATTTAGTTCCAGTTATTAATTCTGGTTATTACTTGGGAGATCGCAGGCTGTGGTGTCTTCGGGGGGACAGGCGAGTACAGTGCAGTGCAGGTAGACGGTGTTGGTGGTGACTGCACCATTAAGATACCATCCAAATGCCATGAACTGGAAATACTCCATGTCAACAGAGGGGCTGGCTACTCGCTGGAACGTGGAGTCAGTATCAGAACAACTAAAACGACACACAATTTTCCTATCATTGAATCATAACCCATAAGTCATAACTTTTGAAGCTTTTTTCGTCAAGTCATAACTTCGTCAATTTTAAAGCTTGACAGTCATAGGCCAACCAGGTTGCAACTTTTCATTTTCAACCTGGCAATTAAACAACAATATTCTTCAACTTTTTTTGGTCGGAAACAACAGTCACGGAACATATAAGATCTAAGCTTGTAATATTTTCATTTCATCGATCACATGAACGAAAATTTCTTCACGTTTTTTTTCGATTTCTATGCAATATTTAATACATAGGGTTAAACAATGAGAATTTTTTGAACTAACTTTTGGTCAAATGCTCTGTTTAAAAAACGGATTAGTCCTAATGGTTTTCTGATCTTCAATGATATATAGTGGTAATGAAAAAAAAAGAGAAAACAACTAGGTTCTAAATATTTAGTGCTAAAGCCTAGCTTTTCCGCGTAGCAAATTGTGTATTCTATATTGTAGCAATTAGCAAACATAGTTTAGTATATGATCTTTCGAAGAAAAATTTTCAAAAGTTTCAAGATAAAATGGGTAAGTTGATTCACAAAACTGCTTCAGCTTAGCTTGTTCACACCCTAATCCCCCAAGTCCCGGTTTAAGACGACGCTACACGCAATTCTCCACATTGTATTTCTGAGAATCGCTTCTGATAGAGTTGTTCAATTTACATGTGTCATAATGCTCATTTTTCGTCTAAATACTTTGTCGTCTTAATATTGTGTTGTTTTTTTACCTAGCACCCACTTCTGATTGTTCACTCCTTCTTACCGCGGGAGCTCGCAAACTTTAAAATTCTAAAGGGATCCCAGCGAAAATTGTGCTTTGCGAAAAACAAGTCTCCCGATGTTTCTGTGCAATGATGCAACATTCTGTCGGATAGTTTTCATGCTAGAATCAAATCTGCAAACAGATAGTTAGTTATTCTGTAGTCTTTAAAACCAATAGACACAGAAGGAAAAATTATTATATTGTCTGCTACTCTTTTTCAATTTAAAGGTTTAAAGTAGTAAAAAGTAGATCAATACTATGCCGTAATTGCAACAGACTTGTTGATTTTTTAGGAAAAAATTGGCTAGAGATTGTCTTTTTAGATACACTGTTTTTGTAAGCACGGAAAAAATGTTTTAAAATATCTGTTATTGTTGGTTTTGTTCTAAATTCAATGCTAATCTCTCAAACTTTGTCTCTTGATTGATGCAAATTAAAAAAAAAGGGTCAATTTGTTGTCAAATATGGTCAAGTTAAACCGGATCGGTGCATATTGGCTTTTTGAAGGAAAAATATCCAAACATGAACAAGAAACTGTAACGGTTTATCATTAACGGATAATTAGATTATAAACTGATCTAATACTGACAAGTCGGTTTCGAGTGCAAATCGGGTAGGGTCGTCGGGGTCCGAAGTCTGGGTAGCCCAGCAGTCGCTCGTCACGACAGTGTATCCGTTCACAAGAGTGTCGTCTTGGAAAGTGACCCGAACATTCAAGTCCGAGTTGAGTATAGTTGTCGGCACCTCGTTGCCACTAAACAGAACAATAACTTCCGCTCTAACAGGAGATTATATTTTTATACAGGTGTCCCCAAAAAAGGATCCAAAATTCATGAAATGAGCAACACATCTTTAGCAACAGACAATACAGAGTTGCTATGGTTCAAGCATTTTTCTTCATCTGTTTTCTGAACTTCATTCCCCAAGTTCAACGAGCATTTCACTACAGTGGGAATTTTGAGTTGCTAAGTATGTGTGTGTGCAAAATTTCATGAAAACCCTCCGGTTTAGTGTTGAGATATTTCAGTTGGGATCCTTTTTTGGGATACCCAGTATAGAACAAAACTGTGTAGAATCTAAGGTTTTGTCAATACAAATGACAAGTTGGACCGAACTGTTGATTTTCCAATCTCTCCCAAAACACCATGAAGACCCAAACTTGTCAAATTTTAGCAAATAATTTCGAAAACTTGCTAAAGAGGAACCGAATCTACGGCAAGTTAGCAAGATCACAGGATAATAAGAAAAGTTGACATAGATGAAATATTGACATAGATGTTAAGGATTGTAATAAAGCAGCCACTTACGTGTAGAAGCTGGAGAAGTCACTGCTCCTGGCAACCTCCATTTTGTAAGTGAACTCGTTCTTTCCGCTTGCGGAGATGCCCGGCTCCGCTGTGACTGAGAACTCAGACGAGACGATGTCTGAGGCGTTGTAGTAGCAGAAAGCAGACGCTTCCCATGCGGATCCTTAACGGAGAACACTTCAATCAATCATTCTGACATCAAACATGCCAAGTTATGAACATTTCGATTAGAATTTTTGTCAGCTTCTTTAAAAACGCGTGCGAAAAGTTAGATGTGGTATCCTAGCCTTTTAAACCTTGATTCGGATTTTACAAAGATATTTCACAAATTTTCTGTCAGTTGCGAGGAAAAACTACTCAAGTTTCAAGATCTGATTGAAGACTCAATATCTGCTAGCTTATTTCAGCCTAAATATAATTTAAATCATCAAAGGTGATTTTGAAACATCGCATGAACAAAGAATGCTGCGGAAAAATTTAATTCCAAAAGTTTGTTCTTAAATTTTTTTAGATTTGGGCAACAAATACTGTGGTTGTGTAATAGTGTAGATAATGTAAATTTCGGATAATTCTGAACGATTCTGAGTCAAGTATAGGAAATTTATTTAAGTAGATCTTGCAACCTATCGACTCAATTGATTCGCAATAGAGTACAGTAAAGAAGTAAGGCCACTTCGAAAAGGAGGATAAATCAAATTCATCTACGCAATTCACTAGCTATTTCCGAATTACCATTTCAGAAGTTATAGATACATTTTTGAATCCGAAAAATCAAGTTTTTTTTTTCACATACTGTTTCGTATAAAATAATAATTTTTTCACAATTTCTAAAAAAAACATAGATTTTTTTCAAGCCTTTTTTAATAGTTAGGGGTCTGCATTGGTTAATATGCTTTATAGTAAAAGGAATTAATAGCAAAAATAAGCTGAGGAATATCTTGATTAGGAATTCAGACTGAAATTTAATGGAAAGAGTTTCTCGACACTGATACGTTCAAAAAAAAATTTTAAATCGAAATCACGGCTATATTTTCTTGGAGGATCTAAAAACCACCAAAAATTGTTGTTGCAACAACAAATTTCTACCAAATATACCTAACCGTTTTTTATTTTTGTTTGCGTTTGTCTGTTTTTACCACTTAGCTCTTTTTTTTTCAATTGATGTTTCGTACAAGTGGCGCCATTTTCACTTTTCTTGTCTGATGTAAGTTTGGGGAATCTGCTTCAACTAAAAATTCCCTGATTTTTCAAATCAATGGGGGCCAAGGTTGTTCGAATAGTTGCTTACAAATTATGTGTTTCTTTTATAATCTCCTGTAAAAAATGCTAGCCCCGCGTAAATCTCTTGCTCTTTTCGCTGTTACTCTCACGTCTTCTTAAAGTCAATCGAACACGCGTGGACATAAACAGCCCGCAAATTTTTGTTCAATCAACACACGTAACACGTAAAGTAAATCAGGTTAATGCAATTATCAGGTAATGACAAAATCATTTGCTAGAGCTCGTAATAAGGAATTAACTCTGGTTTAATAATATAACGATCTCACAGTTCAATTTAGGATGGGTTTTCCTAACCCTTTCGTCTCTTAAGCAACCCACGATTTTAATCTCTAAAATTAACCATTTTCTCAAGCTTTTAGAATAGGTTCCCACTTCGATCCAAACCCAGATTAACAGTCAGGCTACACAAACACTTAGTGTTATTCTCTCAAAATTTATGATCGGAACTATCAACTTCTCTCGGTTTTGGTTTTTTCTCTCTCTCTTCTAAAAGCCACGTACCGATCCCCCCACAGGTATGTCTATTTGTACACCGGTATAATTAAATAACTTCCTCCCATATAAGTCCCGACCTTCGCTGCGGTGCATTCAACGTCCGTCCTGTAGGCCAAAGGTTCCTTTAGAAACACCAGTTCTAAAGGCTAATCTCCCAGTGGCTATTCAGATCGCTTCAAGTAAATATTACGTCCATCTGAACCTCAGCTAAAGTTCGCGTTTAAATGGCAGCAATCCCAAGGTTTTATTTGGTTCATCCCACACATATTTCTTCCCCAACAACCCCCCCCCCCCCCAACAGCAGGTAAAGAACCCACGAATCTGCTTAAGTCCTTGCTCATAGAGGTCCAAAAAATCTGACCTGTGTTCTATTCTAGTTTCAGTCGCCTAGCCCTTAGGGAAAAGCCGTTCCCTCTCCTGGGGTCCGATCAAGCCAATAAACAATCCCCCCACCCCCCCGAAGCTAATAAAATATCCTGTCACTCCATATTACTCTGATGAATTAGCTCCCATTATTTTTGCACTTGTGCACCAATAAATCTGTGATTACTTCGGCACCACATTGAAATATCTACTCCTAGCCCAATAGTCAAGCTATGGCTGACTGTAGTGTTTACTAAGTCCCTTCTTCTTAATTCCAATATTCTATAATATTTTATGAAGGGCAGGATTTTCTATTAACTCTTTCCAATCCCGTATCTAAGTTTTTGCTAGTCCCCAACCCATAAGTGAGTTCTGTTATCTTCCACCTCCAGGATACTCTTGTGGAATCAGCATTGTCGCTTGGTATTTTTTCGTGTTTTTCCGAGCCATTCAGGGGGGTAAAACTTTCAAGGATCAATTAAGGGACCCCACCTGCCAAGTTAATTCATACCCGATTAATACTCCCCGAGTTATCACTTTTCAAAGGCTCTTTATCACTTTTATCGGGGATTGGCTATTAACACCGGAAGGAGTAACGGAGAGGGTTTGTTTTTTCCGGGGCTTGGGTCTACTACACAGTAACGCCATAAAATCAAAACTCCCTCGCTCATTATTTTCCGCAAATTGCCTATTTCCGGTCCCAGGGGTACTTTTTCCAGTGCTAATAACTTCCGGTCGGACCATCGGATTCGGTCCAAACTCAAACGCCATGCTTGTCTTACCACTATCTACCAACCCTCCAAGTTTCCGCTTCCTAGGACTACCAGGGTTCAAGAAATCTCTTCAGGAAGCCAAAGGGGGGTTTATTTGCACAAGCCATAAAACCGGATGTAGGTGTCCGAAGGGTCTGGGATTTCAAACTTAGGCTTGACTCAACTACGGCTTCCATATACTAAGTTTTAAGTTCGTTCCTATTGCTAGATACCGAGTCCTAATAGGGCGATTGGCACTTCCGGGAACCGTTATTACTCGGCCCCAGGGGTCCCCCGGGTCCAGGGTTTTGCATGCCCGGGTCAAATCATCTCCAGTATCTCTCCTGTGATATTCACAATGATCCGACCAGTGGTTCCTAACCCGGAGCGGGGGGGGGGGGAAGTTAGCACATTCTATCCCTCCTCCAGGTTTCCTCCAAAGACATGACTAATTCCTCAGAGCTTGGGCTTTTTTGAGCTTAATGCTTTTTTTTCCGACTTTCGATACGAAAGTAACGGAATATTTGTGCTCGGGGTGGGTTTTTGTTTCTTCAGACAAGTTTCGACTTTTTAACTAGCCATTTTTGACGGAATTTTTTTCATATCATTCAAAAACTAGTGTTGTCCTGAGCTCAAATTTAAAAAAAATATTTCACCTGTGATCATTTTTCGTAAAGTTATGGGGGTCTAAAGATTGCCATTTTGGCCAGTTTGGGACAATTAACGCGCAAAATATTTTGCGCTATTAACGCGTAAGCGGAAAGTTAATCCGTCTTAAAATCGTTACAAATTGGTTGAAAGAAGCTTATTTGCTATAATTGATTTGTTACAAGGAGCGACATCTATCCTTTTGTACTTAATATGGCGTGTGGGGTGATGATTTTCATTCAAAAATTCAAATTTTAGAAGAAAAAAAATTGTTTTTATTTTATTTTATTTATTACGTATATTTTTTGACGTTGTTACTGCTCCATAAAACCTTAAAAGGCAGTCGAAACATTCAGGGCTTCGCCCTAATACGAGCAGTCTTGTTTACCTTTCTATTTGTCGAGTGGCTATCCAATCTCACTAGCATACTCCTATTGTGTGTATTTTAACATGATTGTAACCCTTACTGTAACAAAGAGATTTAACCCTTTGTTTTCTGGCTAAGAGGGTAAGCATCTTAGATTAAGTGAGGTGTGAGCGAATTGTTTTTTATTCAATTCTACATCTGAGAAAACGAGTTGAAAAAGCGAGCTTCAATTAATTTCAAATTCCCGATACAAAAAAGATCATTAACACTGAACACGCATCCTAAACACTTCATGGAAGCTAGACGTCATTTAGCTTCTGAAAAACGCACTTGTTTATGTACGTGTTTTTCCTCATAGCTTAATTTAGTCATTTAGTTATCGGGTTATCAACTCATTACATTGCCACTTTAAAATTATAACTAACCAGCGCGACTGATCACTGCTCCGTTTTGTCCATTGAAAGTTCCGCCGACTCCTCCTCCGGCTCCGTCGTCGCGTTCTCGGGTCACCACCTGCCAGTACACTGTGGCATGGTCGAAGAAGGGAGCTAGAAAAAGTATTAGGAATTCGTCTGAAAGCTTGAAAACCGTCTGAAGAAAATAAAACTACGATTTCAAGCTACGGTTGTTTTTCCGAGCTCTCCCAAATCACTGAAAAGACTCTTGAAGCAGGCCGACTTTGAGCACTTTTTGAAATATTCGACCAATTAATCGCGTTTTTTGGCAAGCGGCACCTCAAAAATAGTATATTCGTCAGTAGTAAGAAGTTTAAATGGTCTTCAGTAGTTTTTCCCAAATAAAATATTGATGGAATTAAATTCTTGACTTAAATGATAAGCGTTAAAGTTTGAGTCGTATTAACCAATCAGCCTGCCTGAGTGCAATTCAGATCATTTTTAATTCGGAAACAAATAATTCTTTTTGATAAGCTTTTAGCATCAAGGCACTGAGAAATTCTAGGTTCGATCCCCACTCTACAAAACCCTATCAGAAAAAAAACTACCCCAAGCCTTTATATTTTTCCCTTCGCTATAATTTCTGAACAGTAACCAAATATTTTGCCATACTCATTGCAGCGGGGCAATGGTCTGAACACAAGTAAACGACTGTATACTTTGTTTAAAAATAGTAAGTATAACTAGTTTTATGTTAGTTTATTATATTAGCTTTAGTTTAATTATTACGGATCTTTACAAATTCGAAGAGTCAAACTAGTAATAATTGTAACAACTTGTTTCAAATACTTTAAAAATTTCCGCTACAAAATAAAATGTATAGTTATTCAAAAAAACACAAGGAATCTTGTTACTTCTTTCGCCAAAAAATCGAACGGGGCATCAATGCTCAACAGGGCATCAATAGTTTATCGGATTATGTTTTAGACAACGCAATCAATTTCATCCAATCAAATTTGAGCGATACAATTTCTACTTTTTGATATTCCAACTGTCTTAAAGTCTACGAAATATCTTTTTTTTTTATAAAAGTGATGATTTTCAAAAAACAATAAAAAGTTTTGAAAATATTATTCAGATTTTTGTTTGAAAAACCCCCCACGCGCTATATTAACTAGGAAAGATTGATTTCAGCATCTAGTAAGTTATTAATAACACTAAATACCCGGGTTGACCTCCATAGACCAAAAAGCTAATCATACAATTCCATGAACTAAGTCTATGAAAAAATACTCTTCATACAATTTTCATACATTTTGCTTCGTTTTTTTTTTCATCCGCAAATCGAATTTCGTACTCAAAAAACATTTTCCAAAAGAAATTTTTTTTGCATGTATTTTTTTTGTGTGCATAATGTAGTCCTGGATACACAAAAATTGAATTTTTTTTTCCGTTTCTCTGGAAAACTTTTTTTCAAAGACGCTAGTAACTCCTATTTCTTTTGTATGGCACATTTGTGTATGCCTTGATCGTTGTCTGATAATGTAAAAACTCAAGTTTTGAAAAAAATCATCATCGAAAACGTTTGCCAAAAATTAAAAGTTTGATGCTTTCAGTATATCATTTGTGTAAGAAAACTCCTACACAGTTTAATTCGTTTCCAATGCATTATTAATTCGAGACAATCCAACCTTTGGTGACTATAGTTTTGAGTAAACCATGGTTTTTGTCACTAGTGTTCGATCACGAACACATTCCAAAATTTTTGAGAAATTAAACTTTTAAAAAATCAATTTTTTTTTGGTTTATGGGAAAATGCTAGTCATAAAATTTCCATATATGAAAAATTTAAAATCATGGACTTTTCAGGCAATTTTTTGTACTTATGGAATTGCATGAAAAGTGTATGATTAGCATTTTTCCATATATGAAAACTGTATGATTAGCATTTGTGGTCAAACCGGGTGGCTCGCCTCGGTTCATTTTGAAACGAACTCTGAGCTGGATTATGTCACCCAATACGCGGTAATAGCACGTTGCGTTTTCGCTTTTTTATCGAAAATTGTTCAAAAATGTAAATTTTTAACCGCTCCCAACTTTACAAGATTTTTTAATTTGAGCTCAAGACTTCAAAACTGCTTAGATGTTTTTTAAAAAATATTAATTTAAAATTAATATTTAAAAATTCAAAGTTACTGGAGAAAATAAACAACAAGCACAAAACTTCCATCACTTTTTTTGAAGTCTGGTTTGGTTTTTTGTCTGATTGATCCCAAATTTCTTTAAAAAAATGGACTGAATGAGGCCAATTTTTTGACAAAAGGAGCTGAAAGATCGCCCAAATGTTAACGTAAGGTGCTGAATAAGCGGGCAATTTTTTTAAAAGATCGTTTCACTTATTATATATATTTTATGATATATATTAAAAATTGGTTAATAGCGCGCACTAATTATACGAAATTTTAAGCTTATGACATTAGTATTTTTTGGACATGAAAAAAGTTTCGTTGAAAAGGCGCTAGTTTAAAGGTTCCATGAGCATAAATATTTGATTACCTTCGTGTTGGAGTAAAAAACGCGAGTAAGTAATATGAGTGAACCCGCCAGTATAGAATTTCAGTAAAAAATTTCGTATCACTACATAACTGTTGTACTATGATTGCAAGAAGAAGATAACTTTGAAATCTACAAATGAGATTGTAAAGTTTCGTTCTAAATTCAACACTAGTAATTCAGTCGACTGAGTTTTGCCTGGAGAAAAAAAAGAAAATCGAGCATGTTTGGCTAAAATTCTTTAGAAAATTTGGTACAAGTACTCTGTTAATCTATATGTTGGGAAACTCACGAAGCTCATCATCTCGGACAGTGGGAATGTCGCCCAGGTCTCCGTCGTTGTCGATAGATTGAAGTGTTCCACAGATACCGTTGTTCGGATCAAGGTTAAGTTGGAAAGTCCAGGCGGTGTTGCGCAAATAGTATAAATCGTAATGAGGAGTCAATTCACATACCCGGTCCGAATTCAGCAAAGTTGGCATGTCTGAAATATCATCCTTGCTGTACACATGAACGCAGACTAAGGGGGGGGTGGGGAATGGGTTCTATAGCGACTATTTTAACGTTTTACAAAAATCCCTTCGAATGTTTTGCAAACGACCCCTCGAATATTTTATAAACATCCCTTCGAAAATGCACTCATCCCCATCCCCTAGAAGAATGTGTTCGCTAGACTTCGTAAAAACAAATCGGTCGAATACTTGAAGAAAAAAATAGTATGTTTCTCAGCAAATAAAAACCTACTATTTATCAAACTTTTTGATAAACTTCATTCGACTGAAACAACGGAACTTTTTGAAATAAAACAGAAGCACGCTCTCAAAACACCGGTATTTTAAAATCTTTTTGGCAGTCGAACATAATCAAGCTTAAACCAAACTAGCACAAAAACTTTTGGAAATGGACAAATAAGGTGGAATTCCCCTTAAACTGATAAATGATTCTCACGATTTTTTAAATTTCAACACTCAGTTTTTTTAATTCTTGAGTTTTTTTAGAATTGTTGATACTAAAAGGAGGCCCTGATTCGAAGCTCTGTGACATTTAGCCATGAGTTTTTATATGGACAGCTTTTAGCGATTATGGGCACTTAATAGCGATTATATACTATATATACGCTTTTATATACTATTTATACGCTATAGTATATATACGCTTTTACCGATTATATACTATAGCAGCCTTATGTGTAATTCTTTAAGACCAGTTGCTATCGTAGCTGCTCTTTAATTCATGATCTTATACTTCCGTGGTAACATCCTCCGCTCCCTGACGCGGCCACGGATGAACCGAGGAGATCTTAGCAGGCCTAATGATTGACCATAAAAGGAGTGATTGAACTTGCTTTGAAATCTTGTTAAGCTAAGCAGAATGTTGTCCTTGTACATGCTAGGTAACTCGGTTGGATCTAAAATATCGGAAAGATCGTTCACTCAATGCTGAAGACGAGAAGCTCCAAAGAACTGCCATATTTCCGAGCACACGTTGGTTAAACTTCCATGCAACGGTTTTCCTAATGATTTCTCGAAGATGGTAGGTTTTCTATTTGTGCTTTTATCCGACCCAATTCGGCTACGGAGCACGATGAATTATACAACGCCTATCACAGATGAGCTTGAACCCCGACTTGAACAGCCCTGATTTCCTGATTTTGTGGCATGTAAGAAAAAAGGTCATTTTTTCTTCTATTTTTATTGAAACTCCCACGAATGAAACGTGAAACTAATTGACAAAGAACCTGCGTGGGAGCGGAATAGTTACTTAACCCAGGGCGTTCTATGGGACATAGTCAGCTTAGCGATGTTCACTTTATGTTTCCGACATGTACCGCAAGGGTGATCGATGGAACTATGTAGTCAATACAAACGAAATATAGCAAAGCTTCAAGTTATAAATGAGAACCTTTAGTTTATCCCTTAAGCGTGTCGCAGGTTCCAAGTAAACAATTATTTTAATGGATGACGTACATCGAGCACAATAGGTTGTGTAGCATCGGATTAGTTCTTTTTTTATTGGTAAGTATGGTTTCAATTTTGCAGGGAGTTAATCTGTATAGGCAATACGTATGTGCTTCTTTTGCACAATAACCAGCTCAAGATGGTTGGTTGTCTCATATCTCGTACCATGAAAATGCTTATGTGACGACATTAACCTCAACATAACAGCAAAAGACTTATTACTCTGTGGTAAGAAAAATGAGCCCTACTCAACGGAACCTTGCCCAGCAGGTATGATTTACGGAACTTCAAGTACGAACGTTGATTACGTCTCCAAGATACTTTTGACTTCGCAAGAGCGGAATTTTCGAAACGATCACTCTATAAAAATGCTCGGACTGATAACACAGCTGCAGCCCTTGAGGACTTCTGAAGAAATCTTTTGCTCACAGGTTTCAGCTGAGCTGTTGTTGCGGCTCAAAAAAAGATACGGCTTGCCGCTATTGTGACTAACCCGTGGATTTTGCTGAAGTGGTTACCGATAGACACGTGCTATGCGTCATATGTTATCCGTCAGTGGATGAAATCTAGTCCTCTTTCACGAGACTGTTTCCTTCGTCTGCCATTATTTGTTTTGCCTATACGAACGCCTATACCCGGGTTGACCATAAAGTGCAATCATAGGTCGCACTATGCATGGGTCCATAGAGGCCATGAAAAAAAGGCCTCTATGGAAAAAATTCTTGTAAAATAAATTCAGTAAAATTTCTTTTTTTGATTGCTTTCAGCCAAGGGTCTGAATTAGTTCTAAAAGGGGCAATTGGCTATGTATTTGCATCTTGTTGCATCTTGTAGGCATCAATTTTTCTTGTTTGTTTTCAGATATTTGTTTGGATTGTTTGGTCTCTTCTTATTTGGTTTTGCCTTGTTATATGCCCGGGTTGAGTTGACAGGAAAAACTATCGCTACTTCAGAGATATTGCAGCGATTGCCATCTATGGTTCAGTCTATGATCAGTATCACTTTAACCACAATCAGACATAAACCATCGCTGAATGAGCGCTTAAATTGCTTAGATGCGTAGGAGATGGATTTTCACTGCAATAGCCGCCTGAAAACCTATAATTTAGGGGTAACTCATTCCTGAAAAACTCTTGATTAGCCATGAAAATTTTCAAGTTCAAGTTTCGGGGAAAATCATAAACATCACATCATAGAATTAGCCACGCAAATAATCAGTTGAAAATTATATTGAATAAAGTGCAAAAATATGTACGCAAATTCTCGGTGCTAGAAGTTTTTTAATCGAGTTCACAAACTGGTTCAGAGCGAGGGTACGGTTTTCTTACTGTCTTGCGTAACAGTATCTGCCGTACGGTTCTTGGACCCTCTCAGGAGTAGTTCCAAGTTGTTTTGCACAAACTTCCAAAATTTCTTGACGTCATGTTCGCACTCGAATTTATTTAACCACCACCCGTGATCCTGCGCATTTTTATACATTTTCTTGTGATATGCGTATTTCAATTGGGGTGCGAAATACTGCAATTTAGGTTCTTTGAGGATAACGTTTCTTATAAACCCTTTAAAATTTTTGAGGCATGTGTAATCAGGGCCTTCAGTTATACCAATGCTAACTAACTAACTGTTTCTAATAACTCAAAGGATGGGACAAAAAACCAGGGAATACAACGCTGACACCTGCTAAAGCCATTTTTTTCCGAGTCTATAGACCGTGGGGAATATATTTTGCTGTGTAATAAAAAGCATTATTTTTTTTGTTTGCAGATTTTATTTTTGGGCCGCAGGACTCTTCGTCCCATAGATATTAAAATGCTAACATTCGAAAGCTTTAGGTCACTAAAACTTATTTCTATAAATTGGAAAAAAAATGGCTTCGTCTTCAACGTTTTTAGCTAATTTTTAGCTAAAATGGCTATTTTTACCGAAAACAAGACACATAACAAAACTTGAAAATCAGTTCGAAATTTTACTTTTTTTTTGCGCTGGGGATTTTATATGGCTAAGCTAGCCATGAGTAACGCTGAGAGCAACAACTATGAAATAACCCTGAAACATAGCTAATGATTTCATAAGAATTTCCACAAGCCTGAGATATTTCTGAATCAGCGATAAGTTTTCCTGTCAACTCAAACCAGGCCAGGCTTTTTATTTTTTTGAACGAATGACCTTACCTCTATTCGACTGAATTTACAAAATGACTGATCTCTATCTTGCCCTTTCCCCTTGTTGCTGCTAACTCTTATGGGTGGACCTGCGAAGGTCTTAATGTTCGATACCCTGATGAAAAATTAGCTTGCTCTACGAATGGTCTATCTCATTCGCCTGAGATTTCGTGAATCTCTACCGAAGGAGGTCTGTGCCCGTCTTCTGGTTCTTAAAGCAGTCTGTTATATAGCTGCCTTGCCGTTACTGGGATCAGAATTTTTTATATGCAATCAGAATTGTTTTGCTGTTGTTTTCCTGGGTTTTGATGACAACATAGCATTGTTTTTTTGGATGGAGTCCTACCAGGTTTACTTTGTTTCGTCTGAGCATTCCAATTCGCGCTTTTTTGCTTGAATTTTCATGGACATTTGCTTAAGACAAAAACATTTTGATGTTACGGTCCTAAAGAATTTTTATCAAATGTCTACTGAATATGATAAATACGAGTTTAAAGTTTCCAGCTCGTTTGTTCGGATAATTTAAATCAGCTCTGTAAATAACACGTGATCTACAACCGCAGAGAGTTTTGTTGTTAACTTACCAACATATGTGTACGTGGCGCTGATGCCGTAGATGCCGTCATTTTGAGAATCCAATGTCAAAGTAAACCCAGAGATGAAGTACTCTGCATTAGTGCCGAAGCTGGTGGTCAAATCCGCCTGGCGGGGTCCGACCAAGTTGCACGAAGCAGCTGGACCGAAACAGTCGCCAACTGTATTGTCGTTCTCGTCTCTGTTTATCATTGTTAAATTATTGCCTCACACAAAATCCTCAAAAATATTTCGAAGATCTTGCCAGTTTTGCCTTTTTTGCCTTCTGCACCTGGTTGACCTACTTATAAATGTGCCTGAAGCTCATGGCCTTTTTACCGATTTGAAAATCGAGAAAAATACATTAGGTCTACCATAAAAAGTTATCAAGTATCACACAATTGTTGAAAATATTGTAGATCCAGACAAACTATATATTTATCTACCAAGCGGGATTAAAAATTTTGGCGCACAGAATAACATCGGCCAATATCTTGAGTCTTGAGGGGTTAAAAAATATTCAAAGAAACTCAATAAAAAATGCCCGGCAAGAAAATTTCATAGACTCACAGAAACTGTATTCCACTCAATCTGGCGTTGCTTGCCGCATAGTTGAATCCAGTTATTGTGATGCCCAGGGTCTGCAGATCCACCGACGTCATAGAGTAGCCGCCAGCACCCGAGTCTTGGGCTTGGCTTCCGGCGAGCTCGAACTCTATCTCTTCGGTAGAGATCTCTGCTTGGTAGATGACTTTGAACCCCTCGATGTAGCCATTTCCGATGTCGTAAACCTAAGCCATACAAATTAGAAATATAATTCAGACTTAAGTTTTTTCTTATGTTAAAAAAACGGCAGTCACATTCTTGGGCCAATCAAAATTTTCTGTTATCAACTTCTGATAAAGACACGGGTCGATGTCTCTGCATTTCTGCAAATAAAGAGTAAAGGAAAAAAACCTGAGGGTTTTGCTAGATTTACTAGCTTTTTCACTAATGGCGTTAAGCTCAATAATCGAAAAAAAAATCCGCTTAATCTGCTCAAAACTAAATGCTGCTCAATCTGTTTTTAGTAGATTGTTGTCGTCGCCGAATTCCGCTCTACGTACAGACATACCATGAACAACAATACATACTAAAAATCCTTTAAAAGTTATATCTAAGATTATACGATTATATATGATATCATGGGACAAGTAAGTTGCCACTTCTCGATTTCAACTGACTCAAAAAACGCAAATTTTTTCTGACATTTTGTCTGCCTACAACTCAGATAGAGTTTTTAAAATTTTTGGTTTGATTTGGTTCAAAATTTATTCCAGTAATCTTGCTTTGTGAATTTTTAGCGAAAAGTCAATCATAATTTGTCTAAAGGGTGTTTTTGTTGTTGAAACTTGTTAGAAGACAACAAGACATCTCTCTTTTTTAAAATAATAACAATAGATAAACTTGACACTTGACACAAGTATGCATGATGTTGAGGGTAGTTCGAGTGTGGCAAAAAAAAGTTTAGCAGGCGCTAGACTAATAGAGTCTACCTCTAGATAAACGGTTCGGAAGAATCTGCTGCAAAATTTGACATTTGACATAAAACTGAAAGTAATCTGTCAATGTTTCGATATCAAAATTGAAAGAATCAAATTGAACATTGAAATTTCATTGTTAAATTAGGTGAATAGCAAAAAACGAGAACGAGGCGCGGATTTAGAGAAGAGGCGCACCCCCCCCCCCCTCCGTGCCGACCCAATTCAGTTTATCATTGTTTGAAAAAAAAAAGAAATTCCATGAGTTGTCGTTGAAAAATTTTCAACAACAAAAACACTCTTTAGACGAGTTATGATTGACTTGCCGCTGAAATAATTCAGATTATACAAATACTTTTTGAACCAAAGCAAACCAAAAACTTTAAAAACTCTTTCTGAATTGTAGGCAGACAAAATGTTTAAAATTTTGCGTTTTTTGAGTCGGTTGAACATGAGAAGTGGCAACTTTCTTGTCCCGCGACTGTTATGTATAATCGTATAATCTTAGATATAATTTGTACTATTTTGAGATATCCATTGTTGCCTGATGGACTTTTTTAATCTAATTAACAACATCACCGCCCCATCCCCGAAATGGGAGGATGTTACGTAGCTCCTTAAAGGTTCTTCTTTCCGCGTTTCTGTTAAACCATCGAACTGTCTCCAAGTTTTTCACATCTGTTTCAAGTTGTCATAAAAACGATTCAAAAAGGGGCAGATTTATGGGGGGCAGGGGGAAGGGGGACGGCCGCCCCTTCCCTTCAGGGACTCGACCCCCTGCCAACCCAAAGGGTCCCCCTTTGTACTATTTAGTGATATCCATTTTTGGTGACTGACCCAAAAATTTTTCTAAATGCGCCATATATATACTATTTTTAGGGGTGGGACGCAATTTTTTGGTTAATTTTTCCAAAAAGTGCCTAAAAACGCCTTAAGACGTCTAAAAACATTTTTTTAGTGCTTTAGGAGAGCTCGGAAATTCATTTTGGTCGACCTCAAACAAAAAAAAGTCGAAAAAATTTTCGAACATTTTTTGAAAATCCTAGATCCGCCCCTGCAAAAAATTCATACCAGAAAATATTCCTCGTTAGAAAAAAAAAACTTTATGTGTATTATATAGAACAAAATTTTTGTAAATCGAGATATAAGAATAAACACAATCTCCGTGATTCGACAACCATCATGATCCATTCTGCGTTGTTTGAACAGGGGGTAAAATTAACTGCTTCTGAAAGCATTTCGGAAATAATCTATTATACACATGAAAGGATGATTGAATCGGTTACTTAGCAAAAAATAAACAGGTCGTGAAGCACACACGTCATGAGTCAATCAGAATCGTAAAGAAGAAAAGAAAACATTTTGTACGTTTGTTTTCTTATCTCGATTCTGATTAGCTTACGAAGTGTCTACTTTACGACTTGTCTACTTTTTGACCGCACTCCGATTGAATCAATCGCATGATACTTAATTCCAGCGAAGTTAAAAATGATCATTAAAAACTGATATGCACCTCGATCCCAATTGGGTACCCTCGGAACTCGTTCACAATTGGAAACTGGTTGCCAGACGAGTAGTGGAATACTCTTTGGGTGCTGCTGTCGGTCGGGTACAAGTCATTGGTGTTGCTGGAGGAAGCAGTAATAGCGCTGTTGGGTGGAGTCGAAAGAGATTCACTCACTGACAATTGGTAGGTTTGGACTGAAAAAAAAACTAATTACTATATTGATTATATATTTGACTTTCCTTAAAACTGTTTTGTGAACTCTTCTAAAAACAAATATCTGTATCGCGACCCAACTCAAAAATGAGCTGTATTTTTTCCCGAGAACACGGAAAAAACGGTAGCTATATCGAAAGGTCTTTTTCATTTTTTGTGGGGGTTTCAGCTCAATTAAAGCTGTAGTTTTTCTGAAACGCTTACAATTTGCGTATGAAATTAGGAACTTTGTTATTAGGTGGTTAGGCTCCACATATTCAAGTTTTTGTAGCCTACATTAAAAATGGAATGTAAAAATCTCTTTCAAATGTGTTGTTAATCGTTGATTTCTACGGAAATCCTAGTCAATTACGAGTTTTGAAATTATTCTTTAAAATGAAATATTTCAACTCAACATTGTCGATACAACTCAGGTACCGTAGTTTCCAGTTTGTTATCATGTACATAGTTTGGTTACCAGTGACGGCACTACGCAAGCAAATTCACAGAAAAAAGGTATTATTTTACAATAACATCAGTTGATAGAGTGCCATAAGGCTGTTATCTAGCCTGTTTGCAATAAATAACTAAAAATAAATTTCAACTATTTTTTGATAAATGCTGGCATATTGCAAAAATGATAGAAAAATGGGAAAACAGGGATAATTGAGTGTGACTTACCGTCTGGAACAGCCTCGTACTCAATCTGGTAGACCATCAAACCATTAGTCTCGCATCGTAGACGGGCTCCGTTTGCTAAAATAAAAATAAAACCTATCAGATTTCTAACAAAAAATGGGGGGATTCTCACAGAAAAAGTTAATATGAGAGTCAATATTTAACAATTTTTAGACAATCGAACCGGAAAAACCCCGAGTTTTGAACTGTGAAAAACATTGATGCTTGACAAATAAGTATCATATAAGTAGCAAAACGGAAAAGCCAGCCTCAAACATTCTGATTTACCCTGGATTTGATGTTGTGTTGATCCAAACTTTCTACGATTGATTAACATTTATGCGCCAAATTTTCTGTCACACGATCTTGTGTTCAACCTCTATTAACAGCAACATAAAATTTTAAAATTTTAGTTCACTGTCTATCATAATCTAGGACCGATCTAGGATTTTCACCAAGGAGTCAGATTTTCAGAAGACATTTTTTCTAAGACCAACTAAATTGATTTTCCTAGCTCTACCAAATCACGACAAAGACCCTACTTTCACCAAATGTTGTGCGCCGCAGTAGAATTTTTGGAAGGAAAAAACTGCAAAAAAAGACGTTATAGGCCCCAAAATTGCGTTATTTCGGCAAGCGCTCACTATCTGAACTGAATCGTGAAAAGTGAATTCCCATGATGTTTCCATATTTAGCTCTGAAACCATATTTTTCTTTTTTCACTGCTATTCACACTGATGCGGACGCTTCTTCCTTCCTCAGTAAATAGCAAGACTCCTTGCCACTAAGACCCACCCTCTTTTGATAATGTTTTCTTACATCCAGATTTGATCACACAACCTTACCATTTTCAAGCACAAAATGTTTGCTTCCTTTTACTTTGACTAATTTTAAGGAGGTAGAGCAGGTGCACCAAAAAATGGTAGAGCAGGTGCAGGTTCAAAAAATCTTCAAAAATAAAATTTTGCCTGTTTTTTTTATCAAAAGCTCGGCTGCGGAGCCGAGTTTTTTTAGGAAAAAAAAGAGCTTGGACCTATAAAAAAGTCAAAAAAGATTAGACATTCATGCATCGAAAATTTCTAGATGCACGTAGAAGCAGATTTAGGAGGGGAGCGGACGTCTCCTGCCCCCCTTCCCGGAAATTCGATCCCCTGGCTACCCAAAGGGTCCCTTAAGGTCTAAAAATGTCTTATTTCAAAACTGTCCAAAAAGTGCCTAAAACCGCCTTTTTTGGCCTGCTTTTTCAAAAAAATTACCTGCGGCCCAAAAAAGTTGGACAAAACAGTGTCTTTTTTTATTTGAGAGAGCTCGGAAAACATATTTGGTCGACCTAAAAAATCCCTACAAAATTTTAGAAAATCCGCCGCCCATCCTCTCGAGAAATCCAAGATCCGCCCCTAGGTTACCCCTGTTACGTTCTTGCAGCGGTATGTCTGGGTAAGTTTCGCGAGTCGCCCAATTTTGTTTTAAAAAAATAAAACTCACGAGTGTCGAAACTGTAGGTTTCAGCTACTGGCATTACAGACGCACCACTCGGAAGAATTTCCGAGCTAGTTCCACCCAAACCGAAGCTATAGTCGGTCTGAGCCACCAAGAAGTACACCACAGCACTGTAAGACATTGCTCTACTGAAAGAGTTTGAAGCTCCTGAGAGGGACAGGGTGGTGGAATCATCGAAAGACAGTCCGAGGAACCCGCTGATACTCAAGGTGACCGAATTCGAGGACGACGAATCGTACGGCATCCAGAATCGGATCTCCTGCTTGTCGCCGTCATCTTCCTCAGAAGCTACAACAAAACAAAAAAATCTATTTTTATCCTCAGCGTTATATTAGAAATGTTTTAGTGGGTATATATCTCTTAGGTTAGCTAATTGACCTTGGCAGCCTTGGCAGTATTAACTAGTTACTGCCTATTTGCGTTTTGAAGTTTGTTACCTTAATGAAGAAAAAAAATCGTTTTTCAGCCATTCATTTTTAAATTTTTTTTTCTTTTTAACTTAGTTAGCCGAAAATATGGTACCAGTGGTACCATAGTTCTTTATTCGGGTGCGGTCAATCGATTCGAGATTGATTTATTTTGTCTTTTGGCCGAAACATGCTGCGAAATCTTCAATTATTTGAGTCTATTGAATCGATCAATTTCACTTGGCTATCATAGCGAAAAAAGTCTAGATATCGACTTTCTGTCAGAAATAGTGTGAATCGGAGTATTTTATCATACCATTACAGTTAATTGCCATTTGCTCTAACCGGTATTGACATTATGACCTTGATATACTCATTCTCTCCGGCGGAGAGAATGCTTGCTCACTTTTCAATGTTTTAATTTTGAGATTAGTTCACTTTTATCTTAGCATTTTAACTGTACATAAGTAGAATTAGCTGTGAGAAAGAAAAATTTTATAAGGGCGCAGTCAAACTAACGAATTCAACGTGAGGGGCATACCTTCATTTCGACAAAACCATACGGTGGACCCACCAATTCCTTGGAAAGATTGGAGCGATTTTTTCCAACTTGCAGCGATGGCAAAGGAGAACATTGATAAAGAAAATCTTCTAATTACGACAGAAAGATATCATCAACAACCACCACTTTTAGAAAAACTGCCGGATAGCGAACCGGAAACACAGGAAGTCTTTTGCTTGGACAGAAATCTCCGGGAGCAAGAGAGATTTGACGATGAAGAATCAGCTTCGATAAAGCCGAAAACAAAACGATTCAACGGCATGAGAATCGAAAAAGCAGATGAAAAACTTCAATCAATCTTGTATCTAACTTTTTGAAATGAAGGGGAAAAGATTTTCGGTCAAGAATTTTCATGAGTGGAAAACCTCCAAATCTCCTTCAGAGCGTTCTGGAACAATTTTTTCGTAGCTTTCGCGAGGAAGACGAACGTTACATTTGAAAGACATAAACTCGTAAACAGGAAAAAGAGAAAGAGAGAATGACTCGATCAATTCGGGGGAGCTCTTGCCGAAATGACGAAGAAATGCAATCTATCCGCAGGAGAAGATGAATGGACAGGAGACAGTTTTTTTTAAATTTTATGAAAAACTCGGACACCTAACGCAGGTTCCTTACAGAAACTTTCCCACCCCCTAGAAGCACTAAACGTGATACTAACCGATGACAAAGGAATAACGAACCATATGAAAATCGAAAATATTTTAAGTCCAACGGACCCTCTGTAAATAAATCTTTAAATCATTTGAATTTTAAAAGGGAACCAACTGTAAGCGTTGAACGGAGCAACACTTGAATTGCAACGCGACGGCAGATTCTCCAAATGACACCTGGGGGTGTGTCCAGCAAAGGACAAAACTTGTACATCCTGTAAGAACCGAGGACGTTTTGCCAGAGTCTGTAAATCCCGCCGTAAAAATGTCAAGTCAAAATAGAAGATAGTCAAAATGTACATGATACAGAGTTTAATTATCCATCAGAACAACCGGTTGTAAATAACGACCGTGTAAGTAGAGAATTTTGCGCATGGTCAGAATTCGGACAGAGCGGCAACGATGATTAATCTGTATTAAATGTGACAATTATTTACGACAACCAAGGGAAGTAACTCAAGAAATTACTAAACATCGAACTCGGAAAAGAAAACCAAGTAATTTTCAATATACAGGTCGAATCCGAGAGTCCTGTGAGCTTTCTCAAGAGAAATGTACTCCATGGATTAAAATTACGAGATCCCTACTGAAAAATTTCTCCAGGGGAAACAAACAAAAATTACCCACTTTCACAAACCCCTAAAATCAATTCAACTGAAAGGTAGACGTGTTCCCCTTCGTTTACTCGATGCGGTAAAAGCGGAGCTAGACCGATTTAAATCCGAAGGACACATTAAAAGTTTCAAAGGATTTCACCGGAGAAGTCTGGTTTACCTACCTGAGCTGAAGGAACGGTTATGGCTTACTCTCACTAGAAAGTTTTCCTAGTATCCAGTGCAAAATTAGCTTGCTTGGTTGGGACAAAACCGGCACGAATTGCAGAGAGTCAGGGACTCTTCAATCGGAAACATTCCTTTTAGTAATTGTTACCTCGACGACATTCTGGTGGCTTCCGAAAAAAAGTTTCATAGAACACAAAAATACCGTTTATTAAAATTTTCGATTTTAGGCGATTATAATTTGGCCATCAAGTAGCCAAAATGTAATTTTTTTCAAAAAAAATATACAATGGCTCAAATTCAAAACATCTATATCAGGAGTTGCTCCATCAGTCGACAAAACCAAAGCCATTAAATACATACCAATTTCAAAAAACCTAAAGGAATTAAGATCATTCTTTGGTTCAATAAATCATTATTTTAAATTTTTTCAAAAAAACTTGGCATCCCAGGGAAGCATTTTAAGACCATTGCTAAAAAAGAAATCAATCTTCTGGTGGAACGAAGAACATACAAAAGCATTCGAGAGGATAAAAGAAGAAATAGCAAATCTTACTGAAAAAATTAACATTTTGGTTTAAAGCGTATAACGAGAGTAATAACAGCTGCATCCCATAACGGACGCGGAGCTGAACAGTCTCGTTCGCTTCAAAATTTTTATATTCGCATAAATCTAAATATTCCACAAACGAATTGCAACTTTTTGGAGTTGTTTGGGCGGTCGAGAACTATGAGAATTACCTTTAAGGCTTGGAACTCGAAGTCATTTCGGAACATTAAGCCCTCTTTTCAGCACTTTAGCCTAACCACGGAATAGAAACTTATCATAGTATTTTAACGAAATTGGTCGATCGTCTTTTACCTTTCAAATTTAATCATGGATTTTTTCTGATTTATTTTTAAGAAAAAGCAATTCCCTCCTCCCATTACAAAGAAAGCAATAAATCCTACGGATAAAAAGAATTGAACTGAAACACTATTGGCTCAAATTTGGAAAATTCCAATTACGCAAGTGTTCGTAAGTATGTTATCGCTTCATTTCTAGAATTCAATAACTCGACTTTTCCAATTTGCAATATAAAACACAACAGAACTGAACTTCGTTATTCTAAACGTATTCCTTCTGATTTTTCAAATATTAACTCGACAAAAACTTTTTTATTCAGTTCTGCTTTCTAATAGGTTATATTTCTTAATTGTAGCGTAACTAATTATTCTCATGATCTTTAAATTGTAAAAACTGTAAATATGTCCAATAAACTAGTTGCAATTAATCCTTCTTCTTCCGGTATCCAAGCTTCAGTCGAATTTCTTTTTTTATAAGAACATTAAAAAAATTGTGAACAAAAACTCAGAAATTCTGAAGTTGCATGGATGCTCTTTGCACTTAAACACTCTATTCAACGCTAAATTGGTAGCCCTTTCAGCAGAAGACGACCCAATGCTAAGTTTTATCGTCAAAGCTATTCAGGATAAAGTAGATAGGATTAATGCAAATTCCCATTATATAAACCAGTTCATTCGAGATCTTCAGGAATCCGACGGATTATTGTACATGGACGGAGAATTTCATGAGGCCAATCCAAGACACTTCATGAGGCCCATCCAGAACAGTTTGGCATGAAAATTCTCGCCTTGTATATATAGTGGCCTCACATAAACGGTCAAATTCATTTTCATGGTATAAACTGTTCCCAATGCACACAAGCTGGTAAGAACGTGAAAAATATCATTTCTTTTGCTCAAATCAGCGAATTCCCACCCTAGCCTAATGAGGAAATAAATCTTGATTTCGCCTGTTTTTTGGATTCTAGTTGGGGAAAAAACAAACATACTTTATTATGCAATGACAGATTTTCAAATTTTTTCTCGGCTAAAATAGCATGATCCACTTCATCAGATACGGTGATTGAGTTCCTTCAGGATTACTTTTATTTACACGGCATTCCATTTTCTCTTCGCGTCAATCACGCACCTTGTTTTACTAGCCAGGATCTTAAATATTTTTGTGATTTCAATAAAATAAAATCAATATTTTGTTCAGTTGCTGGCCCTCGTTCGGAAGGTTTAGTGGAAAATTTTTTACATCCTGTAGAAACAAATTACTCGCAATGGCTCACGAACACCAAAAACCTACTTTACAACACTCGGTCTCAAAAATTATCTGAACCTTCGTTCGTCTTTCGACTCAAAAATAAGATCTTCACCTTTCGAAATGCACTTTAATAAAACACTAAATACAACTTGGAAACAGTTAGCCTATAATGATCTATCCCATGGAATTTTAGACAAAGGAAAATGAATCCCAAGCAAAGGACGGGCCCTCGACTGAAACTCTGACGATCGGGTCAAGGACGTTATAAGGACACTGAAATCCCGAAGAAAAGTCAGTTTCCGTTGGAGAAAAGGTACGAGTCAGACAACGTCTCACCTTCCAAGCCTTCTTTGTCTCGAATGCCTTTACAAAACCTTTCAATGGTAATATACTTCGGAAAACAAGGAAAGTAAAAACGGAAAATCCTTTTATAGAAAACTTAACGAGAAAATTATAAACGCTTAAAAAACCACGGTAGAATTAACCGACGGAGAACTTATCAAAAAAATCTGACGTCACTCTTCCGAAATCTAACTTGTCTACTATTCGTTCCTTTCGAGGAAATAATTCCTTTCCATTACTTCCTGACTCTGATTTTGAAGTAGAATCAAAGCAGATTACGAAAGTGAAACCAACATCTATGAGGAAAACAGGCCCGAAGACTTCAAACGGAATTAGCCACCTCTGATAACAACATAAGGACCAGAGTTTCAAAACCCTCAACAAAACAGGTCAAAAGCAGATCATCTCGTGACAAAAAACAAACAAACAAGAAACACAGGTTACTTAGCCTGC